GTAAGCTCCAAACGTTTTCTATAGGATTTAGATCTGGGCTATAGGCCGGATGCTCGAAAAGAGGAACTTTATTCCTGGAGAACCAAGAGATGACTGCTGGCGTTTTATGGATCTTGGCGTTATCCTGCTGAAATTTCCAACCTAAATAGAATTAATTATTAAATTTAAGAATAAAAAGAAAAATTTAAAAAGTATCAAGAAATTCAAAAGATGTAGTCTTTTAAAGTAAGAAAGAAAGACTTCTTACTTACCTCTTTTAAATAGAGGTTTAACAATAGGTACAAGTACTTCTCGTATATAACGTGTATTTGTAAATGTTCTAGAGTCCTGTAGAGATCTAGTTATGTGTAACTTAGATCTTCCACCTATCCAGATAGCTCCCCAAACACCTATCGAGATATCGCGGGTTATATCTCTGTTAGTAAGCTAGATAAAAATGTACTAAACTCCTAGAAAAATACTAGATTTTTCAAAGAATATTTTAGCTTATTTAAGATATTTTTTAAACTCACTTGAGTTGGTTGTTTGGACCTGTTCCTTTCCAAGTCGCTTATTTCTTCTCTTTCTAACGTATTCTTGCCTAGCACCATACCCACGCTGTATAGAAGACTCGTCAGAAAATACAACTTTGCTAAAGTTTATATTTTTAAGAATTTTAAGTGTCTTCTTAGCGTAATTCTTGCGGTTAGTAGCTTTTTCTGCGTTTAAAAGCTGCTTCTTTCTAGCTAGAGATTTTGAGTATTTCTCTGCTTTCAATAAGCGTTGTAGGCTTCTAGTAGAGAAATCTAGATTATTCTCTACTAGAATACGCCTATTTGTCTTCTTAGGACTTCTTTCTAGGTCTCTATTAACTACTCGAGTAGTTCGTTTAGAGACCATAGTAGGGCGGCCTAGTTTAGGCGTAGAAAGAGGTAGAATAGGACTTTTCTTCTTCTTAATACGTTGTAAAGTATTATAAATAGACTTATAAGGCTTTTCTAGTATAGTACTAATAGTACTAGTAGATTTTTTTTTGCAAAGATAGAGTATAAACTTCTTTTTCGAATTTAGAAAGCTCTCGAGACATAGAGAGATAATAGAGATGAGAAAATTTGGAAGTAGAAAGAGAAAGATATATAGAATAACACTAGTAGATTATTACGTAATTCTAGCGTACTTTTTTAGCGTACTTTTCTTTATTCTTCGTTTTTAAAATTAACTAGATAAGAAAGCTTAGAAAGAGATTTGCTTATGTAATGCTTATATAAGCTAGTATCTTAGGAACTTTTTTTAGAAATTTTCATACGCTCAGTAAAAAGTTATACCTAACTCTCTTCTAGCTCTTTTTGAACTCTACTTTTACTGCCTTAGATTAGCTTTATTTTGCCTACTAAGTATATCTTATAGTAACCTTACCTAACGAGAAGGTTCTTAACTTTCTAAAAAATCAAGATGTATTAGTCTAGGTAGTCTAGTTCTTTAGATATAGAGCTTAGAAAAAGTTAACTTTTAAGAAGTCTCTTTCTTTTTGTCACCCGACTGTAGGACTCCGTCTCTAGTTGCTGCGATGGTGTCGACAGCTCGATGGTCCTCATATATGTCGCAATTTCTTCTAGCGTACTGTGCATAAGGCTATCTATTAGGTCTTTAGTCTTACTATCGAATACTAAGTTTTCGTCGAAAACGACGTCTCTAGTGCTAATCACTTTAGCGAGTAAGGGTATCTAGATACGATAGATGTTTGATAATTAGTATCTAACTAGGTATCCGATCTATGCCTTTAGG